AAACTATTCGGCGAGATGTTCTTCTTTTTTGCTGCCCACATTTCCCTCAGTAGCTTCGAATACTCAAGAGTTGTCGTAAACGAATCGTTGTTATTAGCGTCACCCCTTGAAAAAAGTGCAATAACAAACGCTAGGGCGAAAACTGGCCCCCGTTGTCTCCAGTCCCCATGTTATTTGCCAATTCACAATGCTGCTTTTGTGCGAAGATGCATAATGAATGTGTAGGTAAGGCAACCGTCAAGACAACAAACATTAAGCCATGAGGTATACGAAATTATTGGAAAGTCATTCTAGACCTCATTCTTGACAGAAACTCAATAAGAGAGAAAGAAAAACGGGAAAAATAGATTCACAAAGACCACCTTTTTAGAGCATTCATGCTATCCTCGTTTAGCAGATACTCGGTCAAAGGTGATACTCGAGCAAGACATTGGATAGCTGCATTCCTATAGCAAAAATTGCCGGAGTTTACTAGTCCAACTGCTCCTGGTCGGCCTAAAATCTTTCACTTGACAAAGGAAGGGGTAGGTAGGTAAACAAATTTAAAAGTATGAAGTATTAGCAGAGATAACCAAATACTCGCCTGTTGTACTAGCCAACGATGAAATTTGCGTTCCAGTTAGTGAAGCTCGCAGTTCTTCGGGCCACACACCATTAGCGTCTCTCAATTCCAACAGAAACTAAGCAGAGCTCATAAGCATGCTGAGTTAACAAAGTCTACACCTTAGGCTCTAAAGCTATTTTAAAAAAATGAAGTAGCATTATCACTAGCAAAAACTATAATAAAACATCAAATAGGACAAATAATCATCGTACATAATCCTTACCTTGCTTACTCGTTTCCCCTTCAAAGCAAGCTGATGCAGAGTTCTTCTCCCGTCATCTAACAGCGTATTCCCTTCCTCTCCAACAAGCCATAGCCTGTAGCATAACCACTAGATCAATGAAAACAAATAAAAAAATCTAATCATTACCTAGCATCTCCATCACCAAGTCTGAGCTCCGTTCTGCACAATTGCAACAATTCGTCAACGGTGCAGCTTCTTGAAACCTAGAGTATTTCAAAATCACTTCGATTTACCCTGATTAATTATCAATGAAATATTTCATTCTAATACCTGAGCGCAAGCCCAAGGTGACGTCTGCTGGATACCATCCACATCTTTAAGTTTCTTCTTGTCGTGG